AAGGTAATGATGTCAGTTTACTTCACCCGATTTAAAATCGTGGCTGGTATTCCACGGGAAAAGGGTTAGACGGTAACTGCAAAATGGTACACCGAGGTGTGCTTAACAAAAGTATTCAAAAATTTGTTGGAAAACAGCAAGAAAGTGGATTTGCGGCGCTACTTTTTACATCATGACAATGCGCCATACCACACTGCTGAAGTAACGAGTAATCTTATTGCGGTCTCTGAGTTCGAAGAAATATGGCCCGCAACATATTCTCCGGATATAACACCTTATGGTTTCAGATTATTTCTAAAAATTAAGAAAAAAAAGTGTAAAAGGAATATTCTTTAATAGCTGAACTTGACAAGCTTAAAAATCAAGGTTTTGAAACTGTTTTCAAAAGTGGATCTTTAGGCTGAAGACAAGAATTGCAATCAATGGCGATTGTGCGTAGAAGATACAAAAGGACATAGAATGCGAGTAAATACAAAAGTAACTTTTGTTTTGCTTCTTCCGATCAACTTGCTGAACTACTTTTAATCCTCTCGTTTATAGTGTCACGCAGTCGTGTTTTCATGTCAGTTTTCGCCAAATAAATTTTCAACTGACCTTGTTGGTCAATGAACAGCCATGAACATACAAGGATTTCGACTGTTGCAAATGTGAGTTAATGACAGGAAAAAAACGAAACGTTTTGTATAGCAGACGTGTAAAAATACAAATCAACACAAAGATATACATAGATTTTTTTTCCAGTTCGGTTACATACATTTGCATGTGTATTTATTGTACGATAGCAGTTTGATGTAGGTCACAGCTAATTGTTTATACTATAATCAATTAAGAAAATATTAACTCTATAGCATTTGGCCAGACTTTACAACAACAACAACAACAAACTCTTATATTTCTAGTGACTTTTCGCTTGTTCTCTAACCATTCGATGTTCGGAAATATTGCTAATAAAGGAATTTAGTTGATGTTAAGAGTAAAAGCATAACAAAAGCAAATATGATTATATACTTGCAAATGCATATGTGTATGTGTATTTATACATGTATATAGATATATATATAAATATATATAATATGAGCACGTATATATTTACATTTAATTGGTTGCAATGAATTAATCAATTTTTTACACCCTTATTTACCCACTTACACACATGCATGCATACATATATATATATATATATATATATATAGAAATTCACATATGGTTTTATGACGATTGTACGTGAAAAATTGAAATATAATTCGCATTTATGAATAAAAATTTCGAATATGACATACAAACAAATGGGTTTATTAATTTTAATTCACTTTCGATTTTTATTATCTTTATTGTATATGGTATGCGCATACATACATATATATATATATATATCTAATGAGTAAGCGTTAAAATGTCGTGCCACATGGTGAAAATTGAAAATTACCACATTACCGTATACATTTATTAAATATTGTGCGTTGAAAATTTCCATAGAGAATAAGTTTAACTCTCTCCGCTGTTTACAGATTTACTGGTAGAGTTTTTTAATAGCAAAAAATTCATTTTAATTATAATTAGTTGTTGTAGGATAGACGTACATAATAATGACAAAATTTTATTTTTTAATATGTATTTAATTTTCAGAAAAGTGTTGCCCTATTTGGTAAATCTGTGAAAATTCATTTTTTTATAAAAAATGTTACTCATACGCACCGTCATACAACCGATCAGCGCAGCCTACAAAATGTTAACCAAGGCATAGAAAAAATTAATTTATTCTAAAATATTGAACAGCATTTTTTGCGCACACTAACCTCTTATATTCATTAAAAAGAATTCTAAAATAATTAAATGTGTTCAAAATTCTATTTCTTGAGTGAAGAAATTTGAACTGAGTTTAGTTGAGTTGTTGACGTTACTGACCAGCGTACTTACGCCTGTAGACCTATTTCAATAGCGCTGTGGGCTTCTTATCACATTCTAAAAGTCTCAAACCAAAGCATGTGTCTCATAAAAAGCCAAGATAATCAAAAAAAATGTTCCCCAACAAACTTATGTTGTGTAGTGCTTAGGGCTGTATAGTTACTGCGTTAGTTTTGAAGGGGTTTTTCTACTTCTTCGTCTCTGCAGTTCGTTGAAAATGATTGGAGTAGTGTCTCATTCCCTTACAGTAAAACACCATGGATGAATGCACTGTTAAGCTACTAGTTGTTACACTGTGGAGAACTGGTTCGGGAGGATTTTTTTATTCTGAATTGTACTTGGCACTGGCTCTCCGATTAAAGGCGCGCAAATCGTTTTTTATCGCTCAGTTTCTTCTCCAGCTGATAACTCTGGTAGATGTATACTTCCTCATTTACTAAAATCGTATAGTTTCAGAGCTGTATAATTTTCGTTCATACAGATGACATGACTTTTATACCATAAAAGAGGATGGAAGTGATGAATGATTTGTGGCGATGCGTTTGGTCTGTGTTTGCAAAAGAGTGAATATGTTGGCTTTCAAGGCTAAAACTGTTGTTTTATGTTGGTGCTGGTTCCAAGCTAAACGAAATTGTCTACGACTTGAAGTTATGGCTGTCGTGATGGCGTAGGAGCGTAGAGGCGATTGCACTGACTATTAGTTTATTGACAAGCGATTGGCCTCGTTCACTACTAGATTCATATGCCTCGATTTCTTAACCCTTCTAAAGACACACCGGTACCTGTTGTTGAGTTGAAGTAGATATCATCGACATATGACAGCAGTTACATACTCCTCGTACTCAACTTCTCGTATTCCCGCAGCAGCTATTATTATTTTCTCCATTAAGTTAAAGAAGTGAACTCAACGAATCGTCTTGTCTGAAAAATTGGTTAGTATTGAACGACTTGAAGAGTTCCTTCGTGACACTGACGTAGCACTTGGTATTGCTCAGCAGCAGTGGTGATGTGTATCGATCTTTTTTCAAAGATTTGGCGCATGGCTAAGGCCTTATCGATAAGATTCAATCATTATTTTTACCTCGGGCTATAGAATTTACATAATCTAATTGGTGATGAGTGTTCTGCAACATTGGTAAGACAGGTGCCACTATAATTTGCACAGACTGTTGGTTTCAACTTGCTTCAACCGCTGACAATCCATCAGTTCCAACCGCTTTGTTGTTTTGCAGACGGACAATCGCTATTCGAATATTTCCATAGTCGGGCACAGATGTTTCATGCACAGGGGGTGGATGTGTGTTTTTGATTGTGGTCCGAGTCAGAGTTTGGTCTTCAAAACGTCGAGAACGCTGTTGATATTTCACCCGCCTCTGACAACATGATCGATCTGGTTGTGAGTTTTTCGAATTGAAGACAGCTTGTCGAAATTTCTTGTGCTGAAATTTAGTAATATTAAGGGTCCCGGTGAAGTCGATCTTCCACAAAACATTTGGGAATCTTTAATGGAGGAAAGTGAATTTGCCCACAGTTGTACCGATCATATCTTCTTTGCTGATCTTGGCATTAAATTCGCTAAGCATAATTTTGTTGTCGTGATGAGGGCAGCGTTCATAGTTACGCTCCAGGCGCTCATAAAAATCTTTGGTCACATGCACTCTTCCTTTCGAGCGTGTGCGCAGATCAGCAATATGCAAAAGAGTTTAGCTTTGATGCGGATCGCGAGATGTTGATCCACCAGGGTGAATACTTGGTTTCGGCAACTCAGTCGCTTTACCACCACATATGTGACATCAAATTTACGCTCCTTTATATGGCCGCCATAGGGAAGGTCACAAGAGCTTACTCGTCTCCGCTCTTGTAACGTGCATGGCACTTCTTGTACGGCGTTGATGCCAGACTTCAGTTTTGCGAGGATATTCCTTGAACCATAATGCGAGGCGTTGTTAAACTTTTCACTGAATCCCGTTTCTACGTGCCCAATCTCGGTATGCGAGTAGATTTAATATTTTAAACATTTATATGTAAATTGAGTCGCTTGCTCTAAGACGGACACCCGCTCGTAGCCGATTATTTAGTAAACAGACGATACAGATGGCAGCGAAGTCTCAAACCGTATGTTGAAGAGGTCCTCTCTTTTAGCCTCCTTTTGGGCAATGATTACTCACCTTTCCGGCGTGTGAGACATAAACGCAAGATTAGAAATTGAGTATAGCCCCGTGTATGAAACTACACATCCAATAGCTTGATTACTCATCAGCACTGATAAGAGCTTAATACATATACATGTACATACATATCTGCATGCATTTATCTATTTAAATCAAAAAAATGCCACTTTACTAATTGAGTTCTTCACTTTATTTTACTCCAATCTAAAGCAACAGGATCTCATTTGCATGAACTGTTACACAAAATGGTGAAACACCATACCTTAGACGCAGACACAGTACATTGCAAGTACTCAAGCCATAAGCAATAACAATGGAAAACAACACTTATAATTTGTCGACAAGAATATTTGCATATAACAATGTACTAATGACAGATTAAAATGGCACAAGTCACGCCAACACGCTTTGCCAAGAAAGTCAAGGAAATTTATTATTCCTTCGAAGCAACATGCAACATGCCACGTTGAGTGGCACACATGTGTGTCGATATATTTTAAGTGTGTTTGGGGTGTGTGAATATGTGTATATGTATACGTGTGAGTATTTAAAACTAGGGTGTGACTAATAAGCATTTAAGCTCACTTCCGTTTGCATGTGAAGCAGCTGAAAAGCGCAAGCCAACTTGCGCTCCATTGCTGTTGTATTGTTGTATTAGCCAATTTGTATTTTGCCGTTATGTTAAATAGTATGAAGTTAACTGCGGCACGCCCATTTCGATCCAAAGTGTGAATAATAAATCAACTGTTGATTTTATGACAGCCAAACGAGCGCTTTCGGCCGCTGCTGGTAATTTATATTTACCGACTATTTTATTGCTATTTTTAATATTTTCATTTATTTCTTGAATATATATATTAAATATTTTTTTATTTACCCACCTTTCATCTATCTTTCTATATATATATCTCTCTCGCTCGCCAGATGCCAGTGCGGCACACGATCCCAACGAACTGGAGAACGATTGGAGTTATATGCGTCAGAAAAGCAGTGCCAATGGCCGCATCGGTACGGCAAACTCGGTCGCCATCGACATGCAAAATGCTGGAAAAATAAAATTCGATCCGCCCAAAGTGCCAGTGATATTTGTTTTAGGCGGCCCAGGTAGTGGCAAAGTGACACATTCCGACACCTTTATGCAGGAGCGACGGGGTGTTACACATATAAATATGATGGATTTATTGCAGCAATATGCGATGGGGAATGGTGAGTGAATTAATGGTTAAACACAATAAGTGACCTCTAACAGAGTTTTATATATATATTACTATTTATACATATATATATATGTATATATATATATATGTGTTTTACAGATATGCAAGATTACTCGCAGTTATCCTCGAGGACTGTAATTGAAGTGATTATGCTGGAAATGAAAATGGCTCCAGCTGCCAAAGTATACCTAATTTCAGGATTTCCACGCTCTATGCGCGACGTGGTCGAATATTCGGAAAAGGTGTGTAGTAGAAATAAATTCATTGTTTTATGCATTTTCGAATTTTACTGCGCCAACTAATATTCTTATCTAAGCAAAGAAACATACAGAATTTACTCTCTTACACTCAAACGATAAATTTTTATGTAATAATAATACATACATACATTTGCACTGCTTTAACGGTACACACCAATAGCTTTTCATGCGAATTTTCGACTTTTGCGATAATAAGCGTGTTTTGGTTAGGTTAGGTTGGAGGGGGGGTGGATTCAGTTTGCACGACGCATTGTGCGCTGTCGACCAGCAGAGTCGTTAATTCGAGCAACCACACAAGCCAGTGTTGAGACGCTGCTACATCCTCAAAAAGTCATTATTATTATATAATATATACTCTATGGGCAGAGGGTGGTTAGTCATGGTGTTGACTTTTTCGTGCCTGGATTGGAGCATGTTGATATGAATGATATTTGGTTACAACAAGGCAGCACTACATGCCATTCAAGGAACGAAAATATCAAGTTACTGTAGGAATTTTTTTGTCTAGCGCGCTATACTTCGTTGTGGGACTATGGTGTAGCCTCAAAAATCTACTTTTTGACGGTTTTGAAGAGAATCTTCAGCACGCTAACACATACATAGCTCCAATTGCTGCAAAAACTGTTCGAATATTGAGCCTTCCATGTCTAAAAAGTACACTCTTTATATTATGATTTTTTTAGGCCATACATCTCAGCTGTTCAGAGAATTAACTAATTTTTTTCATACTTTGGACGTTGGTTAGGCCTGAACTCGGATCAATTACCCTCCACATAGTAACATGCACTGTTAACTACTCGTCTACTGTGGCCAAACATATTTACTTGCTTGGAACAATTTTTTTTTAATATTGGTGTAGTAAAAAGAAATCCTTTATTTTTGCATCAAAATTAATGGTTTAATTTTTTGTACGTATTCAGCCTTATTTAAATGGTACCAAACGGTTTTTTTGCAGAACTTTTCACTCTTGAGTAATCAAAAAAATGCTTACATGACAATCGGACCCGACAATGCCCATGATTTTATCGACATTTTCGACACTCCGTGAAGACACTTTTATATCAAAATTACCAAAATGAAACCGAAATTGTTCATAATTGATTGTAACAGTATCAGGACCATAAACGCTATTCACATTTTCAGCCCACAAAACTGCCAGAGCAGCTTTTTTAGTACGAAATGTCATCTTTCTAACGTCATCTAGCGGAACCCGATCGAACTTATACAACGCGAAATACAGAAAAATAATGGCATTGGAAAAATAATGGATTGCTTTTTACTACACCTTCAACCAAATGTTGAAATATTATTTCAATCGATTTTAATGATTACAATCTTACTGACTAAGGAACATTTTATGATTAGCGGATGAGCAGAGATTCTATATCTCTCACCATATCAGATCGAGGGACGAACTTGCCAGACAAAGTATGACCAAACTACTTAAGGAAACGACTGGGGACGATCAATTGGCTAACGCTCTCTGGGAATATGGCATACTCGTATTTCAAAAGCACTATACATAGGACTTAGACGAGTTACAAAACCGATTAGACTTTCCGCCGAAAAAAATTGCCCTTAGAATGTCTACCATCTAAAATAATCTTGAAAAATGATTCGACAAAATGTTGCAAAGATCGCATTCCTTATGTCAAAACAGTCTGCTCCCAGATGAAAGTTGCTAGGATTGCCTAAAATATTATTATAAATGATATCTAAAAGAAATCCTCATCGAGCCGACAGCTGGAAAAAAAATTTACTCTGGATCAAAAGTCAACAAACGATTTTCAGCTAAGCGGGATGCTATATCATACACTTAGCTCGGACAAAAATTGTGCACCAGATAATTATCTGTAGAGAATGTCTGTATACTATTCTGAAGAAACCCGTATTTAAGATATATTCACCTGCTTATCTCCTGGATGAACGGAAAACTCCTTGTTTTCAGGAGACTCTTCGTGGGAACATAAAAAAGTTACACGCAGCCAATTATGGTGGTTGAACACTGTGGAAGAAAAGTTTTCGTATTATGTCACGTAAAAGGAGCCTAACTTCAAGCTCTTGGAAAGTTGATGTGCTGAGTCGTTGAAGTCGAACGTCGTCACTCACCATCCATGAATAGCTGGATGGCAAGTAAAACGTTGTCCTAACCTGAATTTTTATCCACTTTAAGCTGACGGTTTTAAGTTCAAGACGTTGTATTTTAGCAGAGATGACGGTTTTAAGTTCAAGACGTTGTATTTTAGCAGAGATGTGTCTCTTCCAGACCACTCACCTGCTTTGGAGTAATATTAAAACTTTTGACTTCACTTTCCTGGACATACTTACGTCTTTTAGCCGGTCACTTTTAGGCGTCAGTTGTACAGCTAACTTACAATGAGTCTTATGTGGTTTTCTACTATATATTTAAAGCTTTGCTTGCGCGCTCGCTCCGACCTAAAATGTGATAACACCGAGGAATATTGAGGTTTGTATTATTTTCCGCCGTTGGAACGCTTGAAGGAAATAAAATAGATGCTGTTGGGTCCAAAGGCTTTCTTGTAGTTCGCCTCTCAGTACCATCGCTGAGTCATTTTAATAATATTCAGGTGGTCCTTATATGTGGGACACATCAGGAAATGCAATGTAAAATATTATTTTCCTCACTTCTTCAGAACGTGCTCGTTTACCGATTCTCTGTCTGACAGGTCTTTCAATTTCTACTGGTGGCTTAAAACTCTTTATGCTCTGCCAGAGTGAATCTCTTTGAGAAGAACAGTGATATATCATAACATTTTGGGTGTGCTTTTTTTATGTTTTTAAAGCTTCTCTCAGTCTTTGTTGTCGGTAGCTGTTACATTTCCTCTGCCGCTCTCGGCGCAGTCGGCGGTTTTAAACTACAAATCGCTCAATTTAGCTATGAGTGGTTCGTATTATATTTTGGAAACTCTCTGTTTCCATCAAACAAGTCTTATTTTTACATCACACTTTACCTCAGAGCGGCACATGCAAACTACCACATCAAACGTACATACAGATCAAACACAAATAGTACGACAATTTTACTCTCTTACAGATCCAAGTCGTGAATGGAGTGATCTTGATATCCTGGCGTAAGTCGATTCTGCAAAAGCAAATTGATTATGGCTCGAAATTAGGTCATGTCTATCTCTCTTTAGCCAAAATGGAATTGGAAAATTTCTTCAAAAAAGCAATGGCCGTTGCAGATTACTTCGATCAAAGTGATATGCTGTTAGCTGTGAGTAAATTCAAGATTTTGTTTGAAAACTATTTGAAAAATTTTTTTTTGGAATTTTTCTCCCTTACTTGTCCAGGTAAACGGTGAACGTGCACCAACCGAAGTATATGTGGACTTTCGTGCCGCCGTACTCGATATATTGAGCACGCTTGAAAATCAAGAGGCCATGCTAAACGGAGTCACAGGTATGGGTCGTGGCATACATGATATACCCGGCAGTATTGTTAGCGTAGACACCGCACCTAGTCAAGCTGCGAATATTGCAGACACATCAAATGCCAACAATGTCAACAACAATCGAACTGTCTATGCTGCCAATCATAATGGGTATAATGAGCGTTACAATAACAATAACAACAACAATAGTGCGAGAAATGTACGTAGCGGCATAGCGAATGCTGTGGGCGCCCACATCGCAACGAGCGTAACGACAGCTGCTGCCTCGGCACAAATGCGTGACGCCGGTGTGATAACCACACAGCCGGAGCTAACACAAAACCGTCAAAATGCCGCAACGAGCATGAATGCAAGCGATGATAGTATACCGCCGGTCATATGGGTCATCGGTGGACCGGGTAGCAATAAGGCGATGCTTTGTATGAAGGCTATAGGGCTAAATCCGGGTTGGGGTCACATAAGGTGAGAGTTTGAGAAGGTGTTTGAGAAAAGTGGTGAAACTTTTTTGAAGTGAAATTTTTACGTAATGGAAACTTAGAGAGGTGAGGTTCGGTTATGTAGAATAGGTTGCTGGCCAGCAACTTAAGAGCCCGCATACGCTGGTGAACCGAATGCTAGAGACTACAACCTTCACTCCAAAATGCGAGAAATTATCAGAGGAAATGCATGAAAGTTTGAAATTCCTCCACCTCTCTACAACTTCATGATGGCGTAAGAGAAAGAGAAGTGCCCTCCCCAAGAAACTATCTTCTCACTTGGTATGATGCGAGTGTACAGAAACTCTAACTATATTCAAAGAGGGCTGCTTTGACATCAACTTAGATGATCTGCGACAGCTCTCCTGCTTTTCTGATTTTTTTGTTATATTTTCCATGACTATTAATACTACCTGACATTTGACATCCTAATGTGCGGCAACCAGCTCCACTTGAAGGACGTTGCCGGTCATCTGGGAGACGAAAGGACTTGCAAATACCTTCCGAGTTTCTATGCTTCTAATCTTTCTGGTAGACGGAACGATCTAATATGCGGCAACTAGCTCCGCTTGAAGGACGTTGCCGGTCATCTGGAAGACGAAAGGACTTGCAAATACCTTCCGAGTTTCTATCCTTCTAACCTTTCTGGTAGACGGAACGATCTAATGTACGGCAACCAGCTCCGCTTGAAGGACGTTGCCGGTCATCTGGAAGACGAAAGGACTTGCAAATACCTTCCCAGTCTCCGAATCTCATGGGTTTCTATCCTTCTAATCTTTCTGGTAGGCGGAACGATCTTCTTTCTGCATGCTTTGCTCGAATTTCTGCGACCAAGATTAATTTTTGGTAGTTTGAAGACTCAGTTATATGCAGCTCTGTACAGTTTAACATACCTTCATGGAGGTGGACTGGTTCTTTGTCACTTCGGGATCCAAAGTACAAGTGCAATGACCTTAGACATAATCTACTGAAATCCTTGGATGTCGATATGTAACTAAGATAAAAAAAAACTCCTTATAATATAACTTACACTCAGCTGACGCTGTTATACAGGGACTACTGTTTTTGAATGTCTTATCTCCCCACAAAGGTTTCACTTCTCTTCTCTCAATCTCGAAGCACCAACTCTATATTTCTTCATTTAAAAACTCTTTTCCTTTCCAGTATGGGACGACTCTTGCGCGCCATTACCGATTCAGCACCACGTGCAAACACTGAAAATTATACCGTAAAGGAGGCACTATCCGCTGGCGAAATGGTGCCGGAGAAGGCGATCAACAATATACTCGATGCGAATATACGACAAATGATGGATCGTAAGGGCATATTGATAGATGGTTTTCCGCGAAATCTACAACAAGTCAAATATTTTGAGAATAAGGTGGGAATTGCATGCTGCACAAGTTCATGCCTAAATATTGAGAGATAGAAGGCAAAAGTGCACTCATAGTGTGCTTTAATTAAATTTATTTCAATCAAATTTTTTATCAAATATTTTTTTACGTTTATTATTTGTTGCATTAATTATTTTATTAATTTTAAATAAATTCTTTTTTTTTATTTAATTAATTTATTTTAAATAATTTGTTTATTATTTATCAGTTAAGACGTTTTCTTAATAATTTTTTTTTGTTATTGTTACTATAAATTAATGTTTTAAATATAAGGTTTAATTATTTTTTTGCAAGTTTTTAGTTTTTTTTGTTAAATTTTTAATTATTTTTTTTTTATAATTATTAATAACCTTTCATTAATTATTTATTTAAAATAAATTCAGAAAAAATTTATTAATATTTTTTGTTAACATTTTTAATTTAAATTTTATAAATTTTTTTTAATTGTGATTTTTTTTATTATTTTATTATTAATTATTTATTTAAAATAAATTAAAAAAAATTGTATTAATATTTTTTGTTAACATTTTTTATTTAAATTTTATTATGCATTTTTTATAATTTTATTATTAATTATTTGTTTAAAATAAATTAAAAAAAAATTGTTTTAATATTTTTTGTTAATATTTTTTATTTAAATTTTATAAATTTTTCTTAATTATAATTTTTTTTATAATTTTTTTATTTCCATTCCTAATTTTATTATCACTAAACAAATTATGTTTTATAATTTTTTTTTAATTATTTAATTTTTTTTTAAATTTTTTAATATATTTTTTAAACACATATATATCTCTACTTTTATTATTTCATCTTTACTGATATTTTTATAATAATTTTTTTTTAAATAAAATAATTTAATTGTTATTATTTTATTTTTATTTTATTTCATTTAATTGTTATTAATTTTTTACTTGTTTAATTACTATTTTTTCCTTAATTCATTTCAATTAATTTGGTTTTAGTTATTTTACTATTTTTTTTTAATTGTTGTTATTTTTTATTACTTCATTTAAATACATTTTTTAATACATATTTTAAAATATTTATATTTAATTTTTTTTTAATATTTTTTCCAATTTTTTAATATTTAAATTATTAATTATTAATTTTTATTGGAATATTTTCAACTTAATTTTTAAAATTATAATTATTGTTTTTAATATTGTTTATACATTTTTTAGACATTTATTTATTTATTTTTTTGTAAATTTTATAGTTAATTATTCTATTTTTATTATTTTTACAAAAAAAAAATTTAAATATCTTTTCCAATAACTATGAGTTTTTCCTTCATTTTTTAATATTTTTTATTTTAATTTTTTGCTTTACTTAAGCTTCTTATATTTTTTTAATTATTTTTAATAAAAACGACCTTTTTATTATTATACCTTTATTAATTTTTTTCATAAATTCTTCTAATTAATTTTTTAAATATTGTATTACTTTTCACTAATTTTTAATATATAACTTTTTATTATTATTACTTTTTAAAGAATTTTTCTTCTACATTTTAATTAAAATTATTTTTATTTAGTTGTTATTATTATACTTTTGTTATTTTTTAACATATATATGTTAAATTAAATTTTTAAAATATTAAATTATTAATAAATTTATTATTTTTTATTAATTTTTTTTTATGATTTTATTATTTTTGCAAATTGTTTAGTTTTTTATTTTAAATATTTATTATTTTATGAATTAATAAATTTAAATTATTTTTTTCTATACATTTTTTTTTATTAATTTCTTGTAAATGTTTTTTATTTTCTATCTTCTCCCAGTACAAACAACGTCCACCGATTGTGCTGCTAGACTGTTCGAAACTACAATTGGGTCGCGGACGTGTCGATGACACTGTCTCTTCGTTCAGGCGACGTTTGGAGCTATTCCGTGAGCAAACCCTACCGATGTTGAAGACTATGGACAATAGCAGTCGCCTGCAAATCGTTAGTATCAAATTATCAAAAAATCATTCATTCATTTCCATTTCTCCTCAGGTCGATGGCGATACGGACAGTCCATCGGTGCAGCGTGAATTTGAGAAAATCATCCGACAACATATACAAGCATTGGACCAAAGGGATCACGGTAGTGACACATTGAATAATCGCAACATGACCGATACTAGCGTGATGACCAATCATGTTGTTGAACATAATCCGCAAACCGATGCCATATTACACGACTTGGAGAATAACGTTCCCGGTGCAGTGCCAACAATAAGCCATCATGTGTCGCTCATGAATGGTCATTTGAAGAATCGTAATAATAGTGCCGCCCATATTAACGGCAACGTAGTAAATAGTAATCACGCGACAATGAATGGTGATGCTCACATCACCACAGGCTTAACGGGTGGCATTGATTTTAGGCATATGTTGCAAGAGGCTGAGCGATATCCAGTGGATTCGTATATGTAAGGCGCTGGTTAGAGCGAGAGATTAGAGTTGGCATTTAATTTGCTAATCTAATATTTATTGCCAAAGCAAATGATCTGCTTTTATGATTATTTAATATTTAATTGGGTATATGTGATTATGGTTTATCAGACCTTTTAGTAATATTTATAGTTTGGTAACTTCCTTCCTACTTGTAGTTATCAGTTGTGTTGCGCTCTATTCGACATTATAATGTATACAAATGTGCGTGAGCTGTGATGTACTGACGTTGATGTGGTGACGCCTTGATGTGATGTGAGGTCAATGTGATGATGTGTTGACATCATGTGATGATTTTTACCGATTTGCGATGGGATTGTGATTGTACGATGCCAAGTTAGAACCATTCATTCATCCATCTGCGTTACTGTAGCATTTAGTGACTTTGAGAAAGGATAGGAAAAGAACTCGAACGCTAATGGATTTTAATCAACCCGTGCCTCTAACCCACCAGAGGTTCTACAACATGTAGTATGCCCCAACTTTGGTTTGATCTCAGTTAAAATTTTGAGCTCCTTCTGAATAGATCTAGATATGTCTGTATTGTCTGTGTTACAATAATACTAAGTCTCTCTCTTATGGGAAAGCACAATGAGCCTATTCGATGGCTCAGAAGCGGTCTCTTGTAGTTAGATGCTTAACTTTCCCTTTCAACCTCACAGCCAACCAACCAAGGCCACAGGATGCGTCAATGAAAAAGCCACTGGCGTAAGACCCGAATTTGCTCAAAATGGACAGAATGTTCAGGACGTGAATTATTTTTAGTAAGCGATAAAAGCCGACTAAAAAGCAACACGTCCGTTGCTTTTACTTTCAAATGAATGCAAAAAGCACTCTAGGTACTTCTTCACCTGATTTTTCCAACGTTGTGGTGGTCTTTCTCTTCATCTGTTTCCACCAGTTTGTGCTGCATCGAAAATTATTGAAGTTGGAGGGCTTTCAACATTTGTATATACGGTGTTTTAAAACATCCCGTCAAGCATTTCGGACATTGGCCACCTGGAGTAAGCTCAAATTTTTATGAAACTCAACGAAATCGCTTTACATAGTTTTTGTGAAAAAATTGCGGTTTAACAGTGAATGCGCTTGGCCTTAACAATTAGTTGCAATATTAAATCACCTATTCTCTTCGACCGACTATCGCTTTAGTGTTACAAAACGCCAATTATATATACATATAAGTATATATATATATTATACTCCTATACACGAGCTAGTCCTGAAACCGTTACTCGAATTTTCCATCCAAATTCTTTTCTTTTGCCTCTGCTTGCATTTATTCTGACGAATTTACTTACAGCAAAAACGTTTTGTACTGGCATATGAGTACGACATTAGTGCGCCTAAATGTATGCAACGTAGATATGCTTCAATATACAATTCTTTTTCATTGCAATTGAACTGTTGAATAGCGCATACACATACAGACGTACAAGTAAATAAAAAATTAGAGAAAAAATATATTAGAATTTTCAAAAAATTCTGATTTAAAAAAAAAAACAAAAATAATAAAAAATTTTATATAAAAATTGATTTTAATAAAAACTATGTAAAAACTCGGCCGCAAATCTCTGCAGTGGTTCAAGCGCCAATTATAGATATATATGTATCACATTATATGTGTTATTTCATATCACAATTATTTAAATATATTTCAGCTTCAAAAATGCGGTTCATTTGCTATGGCAAAAAATTATTATACGTATAGTTTTTATTAAAAAAAAAATGAATTAAGAATTTTAAATAAATATAAAAATGGAAAACTAATATCAAAATAAAATGAAAAAAAAAACATAAAAATGTTATTAAAAATAACCGTAAGATTTTAAGCATATTTTTAATTTTCTAGTGACCGACGATAATAATGAAAAATTAAAAATTATAATTAATACTTAATTAAATAAGTATTAGTAAATATGTTAAGTTAAGTGCAAAGTGCTGCAGAATTTTTAAATAAAAAAAAAAAAAAAAACAAGCATACATGCACACGTTTGCAATTTGATTGCATATTGTTATTATACCATTATATAGTAACAGCAAATAGCGGTTAAATGCTTTAAATATACCTACACATATGCATATATGAAGTATAAAACGAATTTTAATATGAAATTTTACTAAAAGTAACATTTAGAAAATATTATATTTCATAAGAAATTAATTAATTCAATTAAATAAAAAAATATAACAATTGAAAATATTTAATAATTTTAAAAGTCATACTGTATAGTAGTATAACTATAGAAATAATAGTTGAAATTGTTGGTGCAATTAAAAATATTTAATAGGAAATGCTGGCATCTGGAAAATGTTTTTACGAATTCTACAAATTGTTGTTTATATAGAGAAAATAAATATATGTATATACAAATATATATATATATATATTTACATATATACTACTGAGCAGTGCTAAGTAAGTAAATAAGTTTTTAATTAGATATACATTGCATACTCATACATACATATGTTATGTTGTATTAAGCGTTTATTTCAACATCGAAGAGTTTACATACATACATATATCTCGTTAATTGAAATGTAACGTTAATTATATAATATTAATAAAAGTAGTTAATACAATGTCAGTTATTTGTTTGTATGTATAAATTATATATTAAGTTTGACCAGATGTTGGTCTGATTAACAAAAATCAGCCTCCATCACTCCCTTGATTGCAGTAAACCTGCCTGAGAAACACTATAATAGTCTGCCCCTGCTGATGGTTACTTTTCGTTAAAAGTCTGACAGACTACTCCCCATTTACATATAAAGAAGTTAAGTGCCCCTTTTATCCCAAAAATCCTTCCGTGGAGGCATTATGGTGTCGAATGAACCACTCTGCACCAGCCCACTGATACAGTATGGCAAAGGAGTGTTAAATGTTCGAGCCAACCACAAACTCAGACTACCTAACTGTAAGCGATAAAATTGGAGTATTTCGTAAGACATCATAGATGCTCTTGAGAGTTGCGCGATGAGCGATTTCCAACTACATGGATATGTATGCAACTGGTCATTGCAACTATTTTTGATCGAGCTCCTTCTCTAATGCGTCGTCTAGATGTTTTCGCAATAACAGGAAAGATACTTCTTCCGAAGAGCTAAGGGTTTTTTATGAGCAGCTTTAGTTTTATGTCGGACATACAGTCGGAAAGTTTCACATTTGCTGAACGAAAAGAACTCAAGCTAGCGACTTATATGACGCAAAAATTCCATTCCATTGAGGAAAGCTAGTAGTATATAGCTACAGTTGCAGCTTTCCTTCATTCCCCAGCGTTTGCTTTCTCCAACTCGTCACTCCAGGGAACAGTCGCTTCTGAAATTCTATTCTTCTACAAGGCATGACAGTGTTTTATAGCAAAGCCTGTTGTAACCGTCTAATTTGGTAACACGTTCAGATGTCCGTACTGACTTGAGTGCTTAAGGATTTTCCCCTTTGCGCGAGGGCTACAACATCTATGTAGGTAGCCGCCTTGCAGTCAGCACTTCCGCATGTCGTTATCGATCAAGATCCAGATAATAAGCTAGAGAACACAACTTGAGTATAAGATGATCATGAGAAGCGTGTACAGATAGTCGCCTTGTGGAGCACCCCTATTAAAATTCTGATGACCTTGATACGCTTACTACGACAGACAAGCACTCTTAGTAAACACAGAGCAACGAAAAGATATAAGCTCATAAATTGAACCCACTATAAATAAGGGGTAAAATCACTATATCCTCCAGCAAGGTCAGGGGCTTCCATGCAGTCCTTGATAAAAAAAACCTGAGCTGGGTAGAATATATTTAAAGCAGGACCATCAAAGCGTTGCGAATTTGAAATAACTTCAGAGAAGTTTCGCACTATGAGGGGCTATGTGGGCAAGGACCCAAATGCGGTATTGGGATCATACAAATGTCGTAAGGGCCTTACTAATATATGGAGCGTTAGTATGATGTCATACCGTATATTGTAGTAAAACTCGACCTAAATGTGCAATGCGACGAAGAACCGGAAATCTTCTATCTTACTCTTTCCCAGGCAGGGAAGACCTGACCGTAGGCAAGGCTGTCTGTAATTATTAAGACTAATGAGCCTTAATATGAGCAAGCACAAGGTCGTGCTTCTTCTGTAACCTGCGAAATGTAGCGAACGTACAAATTCAATGACTATAACTCTATACCCTACAAGATTATAGTGAGGGTTGGAGATGCCAAATTGGCAGTCACTTGAATAGAAAAATTTGACTTAGGTTTTTTGTTGACTGGCAAAGTCCAAATGTATGACAACACAAGCAAGGAGACAATTTCCAGACCTGCCGCCATTGGCCTTATCCCACTGTACTCAAAAAGTCATATCAATGAGATGATCTGTGCCCAAAGCCTTCCATCAAATTTGTACTAATTATATTATAAATTAAAACAAAAGCTTTGAGGCACCTAAGAGTAAAAGATCCAACTAAACCTCTCTCGTCTATGGATCCGCCACCCGGTTGGAATTCAACTCCACATTAACTTGACTTTGGGACACCTCTTTCTGAATTTTGGTTTAAACCAGAACCACTATTATACTACCCGAATTGCCTTCGTCAGGAAAAGGTATGAGCAAGCTCCATGAGCTCATGTTACCCGTGGTACCAGATTTAAACCTATGTTCAAACTTCCTAACCTACCAACAGTCCCTTCAGTCCGGTCGATATTAGTAGCACGTCTTATAGCGAGGAATTCTAAGAGCCTGTTGATGCATCATATATTCCACGGTCCGACAAGCTCCACTACCCGAATAGTCTACCTCGAGAATAGGCCCGAGCAAAGCTCCCTGAGCTCATGTTACCCGTGGTACCAGATTTAAGTCTATGGTCTAACTTCCTAGCCTACCAACAGTCCCTTCAGTCCGGTCGATATTAGTAGCACGTCTTATAGCGAGGAATTCTAAGAGCCTGTTGATGCATCATATATTCCACGGTCCGACAAGCTCCAGCCTAGAGGAAAGGACC